TTGGGTGTGATTGAATGAAAGCACACCAAGTCAGCTGCATTCGATGACGTATCGAGGTTAGCAGTGTTACATGTGTGCGAGAGAGACATGCAATAGTCGACGTTTGGAGTCTCCTCCATGTCACATTGCGACATATTTGTTGTTGTTGGTTGTGAGATGTTGAGTGATGGTGTGTGTGAGATTGTGTGGCTTTCGGTGTGGAATGGTTATTGTTGTTTGTTGTCGTTTATGCCTGTGAGTATGTGTATGTGCGTGTGAGGGTGGAGTGATGTTGTTGTTTGTTGAGTTTATTAGTGGGGTGTGTTTTGTGAGTTTTTTTGTTGTTTTGGTTGTGTTGGCCGTGATATGTGAGTTGAGATAGTATTTGTTGTTGTGTGTTAGGTAGTTTGTAGATGGTTTTTTCAGTGGTTTGTTTTGTGTTGTTGAGTGAGTGTGCCCACCAAGATAAGATCACACGTTGTGTTGGTCTGACGATTGGGCGAAGATTGATTTGCCTCGACTGATCTTCACATGGCCGTAATGCTTTGACCATGTGCGTGAACCGTCTCGGTACATTCTGTCGACATTGTAGTAGATGTTCAGAGTGTTGTGTATTGGTGTGGTGTGCGTTTCGGTTTGTGGATGTTGTTGTGCGTGTGTTGGGTGTGATTGAATGAAAGCACACCAAGTCAGCTGCATTCGATGACGTATCGAGGTTAGCAGTGTTACATGTGTGCGAGAGAGACATGCAATAGTCGACGTTTGGAGTCTCCTCCATGTCACATTGCGACATATTTGTTGTTGTTGGTTGTGAGATGTTGAGTGATGGTGTGTGTGAGATTGTGTGGCTTTCGGTGTGGAATGGTTATTGTTGTTTGTTGTCGTTTATGCCTGTGAGTATGTGTATGTGCGTGTGAGGGTGGAGTGATGTTGTTGTTTGTTGAGTTTATTAGTGGGGTGTGTTTTGTGAGTTTTTTTGTTGTTTTGGTTGTGTTGGCCGTGATATGTGAGTTGAGATAGTATTTGTTGTTGTGTGTTAGGTAGTTTGTAGATGGTTTTTTCAGTGGTTTGTTTTGTGTTGTTGAGTGAGTGTGCCCACCAGGATAAGATCACACGTTGTGTTGGTCTGACGATTGGGCGAAGATTGATTTGCCTCGACTGATCTTCACATGGCCGTAATGCTTTGACCATGTGCGTGAACCGTCTCGGTACATTCTGTCGACATTGTAGTAGATGTTCAGAGTGTTGTGTATTGGTGTGGTGTGCGTTTCGGTTTGTGGATGTTGTTGTGCGTGTGTTGGGTGTGATTGAATGAAAGCACACCAAGTCAGCTGCATTCGATGACGTATCGAGGTTAGCAGTGTTACATGTGTGCGAGAGAGACATGCAATAGTCGACGTTTGGAGTCTCCTCCATGTCACATTGCGACATATTTGTTGTTGTTGGTTGTGAGATGTTGAGTGATGGTGTGTGTGAGATTGTGTGGCTTTCGGTGTGGAATGGTTATTGTTGTTTGTTGTCGTTTATGCCTGTGAGTATGTGTATGTGCGTGTGAGGGTGGAGTGATGTTGTTGTTTGTTGAGTTTATTAGTGGGGTGTGTTTTGTGAGTTTTTTTGTTGTTTTGGTTGTGTTGGCCGTGATATGTGAGTTGAGATAGTATTTGTTGTTGTGTGTTAGGTAGTTTGTAGATGGTTTTTTCAGTGGTTTGTTTTGTGTTGTTGAGTGAGTGTGCCCACCAGGATAAGATCACACGTTGTGTTGGTCTAACGATTGGGCGAAGATTGATTTGCCTCGACTGATCTTCACATGGCCGTAATGCTTTGACCATGTGCGTGAACCGTCTCGGTACATTCTGTCGACATTGTAGTAGATGTTCAGAGTGTTGTGTATTGGTGTGGTGTGCGTTTCGGTTTGTGGATGTTGTTGTGCGTGTGTTGGGTGTGATTGAATGAAAGCACACCAAGTCAGCTGCATTCGATGACGTATCGAGGTTAGCAGTGTTACATGTGTGCGAGAGAGACATGCAATAGTCGACGTTTGGAGTCTCCTCCATGTCACATTGCGACATATTTGTTGTTGTTGGTTGTGAGATGTTGAGTGATGGTGTGTGTGAGATTGTGTGGCTTTCGGTGTGGAATGGTTATTGTTGTTTGTTGTCGTTTATGCCTGTGAGTATGTGTATGTGCGTGTGAGGGTGGAGTGATGTTGTTGTTTGTTGAGTTTATTAGTGGGGTGTGTTTTGTGAGTTTTTTTGTTGTTTTGGTTGTGTTGGCCGTGATATGTGAGTTGAGATAGTATTTGTTGTTGTGTGTTAGGTAGTTTGTAGATGGTTTTTTCAGTGGTTTGTTTTGTGTTGTTGAGTGAGTGTGCCCACCAGGATAAGATCACACGTTGTGTTGGTCTGACGATTGGGCGAAGATTGATTTGCCTCGACTGATCTTCACATGGCCGTAATGCTTTGACCATGTGCGTGAACCGTCTCGGTACATTCTGTCGACATTGTAGTAGATGTTCAGAGTGTTGTGTATTGGTGTGGTGTGCGTTTCGGTTTGTGGATGTTGTTGTGCGTGTGTTGGGTGTGATTGAATGAAAGCACACCAAGTCAGCTGCATTCGATGACGTATCGAGGTTAGCAGTGTTACATGTGTGCGAGAGAGACATGCAATAGTCGACGTTTGGAGTCTCCTCCATGTCACATTGCGACATATTTGTTGTTGTTGGTTGTGAGATGTTGAGTGATGGTGTGTGTGAGATTGTGTGGCTTTCGGTGTGGAATGGTTATTGTTGTTTGTTGTCGTTTATGCCTGTGAGTATGTGTATGTGCGTGTGAGGGTGGAGTGATGTTGTTGTTTGTTGAGTTTATTAGTGGGGTGTGTTTTGTGAGTTTTTTTGTTGTTTTGGTTGTGTTGGCCGTGATATGTGAGTTGAGATAGTATTTGTTGTTGTGTGTTAGGTAGTTTGTAGATGGTTTTTTCAGTGGTTTGTTTTGTGTTGTTGAGTGAGTGTGCCCACCAGGATAAGATCACACGTTGTGTTGGTCTGACGATTGGGCGAAGATTGATTTGCCTCGACTGATCTTCACATGGCCGTAATGCTTTGACCATGTGCGTGAACCGTCTCGGTACATTCTGTCGACATTGTAGTAGATGTTCAGAGTGTTGTGTATTGGTGTGGTGTGCGTTTCGGTTTGTGGATGTTGTTGTGCGTGTGTTGGGTGTGATTGAATGAAAGCACACCAAGTCAGCTGCATTCGATGACGTATCGAGGTTAGCAGTGTTACATGTGTGCGAGAGAGACATGCAATAGTCGACGTTTGGAGTCTCCTCCATGTCACATTGCGACATATTTGTTGTTGTTGGTTGTGAGATGTTGAGTGATGGTGTGTGTGAGATTGTGTGGCTTTCGGTGTGGAATGGTTATTGTTGTTTGTTGTCGTTTATGCCTGTGAGTATGTGTATGTGCGTGTGAGGGTGGAGTGATGTTGTTGTTTGTTGAGTTTATTAGTGGGGTGTGTTTTGTGAGTTTTTTTGTTGTTTTGGTTGTGTTGGCCGTGATATGTGAGTTGAGATAGTATTTGTTGTTGTGTGTTAGGTAGTTTGTAGATGGTTTTTTCAGTGGTTTGTTTTGTGTTGTTGAGTGAGTGTGCCCACCAGGATAAGATCACACGTTGTGTTGGTCTGACGATTGGGCGAAGATTGATTTGCCTCGACTGATCTTCACATGGCCGTAATGCTTTGACCATGTGCGTGAACCGTCTCGGTACATTCTGTCGACATTGTAGTAGATGTTCAGAGTGTTGTGTATTGGTGTGGTGTGCGTTTCGGTTTGTGGATGTTGTTGTGCGTGTGTTGGGTGTGATTGAATGAAAGCACACCAAGTCAGCTGCATTCGATGACGTATCGAGGTTAGCAGTGTTACATGTGTGCGAGAGAGACATGCAATAGTCGACGTTTGGAGTCTCCTCCATGTCACATTGCGACATATTTGTTGTTGTTGGTTGTGAGATGTTGAGTGATGGTGTGTGTGAGATTGTGTGGCTTTCGGTGTGGAATGGTTATTGTTGTTTGTTGTCGTTTATGCCTGTGAGTATGTGTATGTGCGTGTGAGGGTGGAGTGATGTTGTTGTTTGTTGAGTTTATTAGTGGGGTGTGTTTTGTGAGTTTTTTTGTTGTTTTGGTTGTGTTGGCCGTGATGTTTGAGTTGAGATAGTATTTGTTGTTGTGTGTTAGGTAGTTTGTAGATGGTTTTTTCAGTGGTTTGTTTTGTGTTGTTGAGTGAGTGTGCCCACCAGGATAAGATCACACGTTGTGTTGGTCTGACGATTGGGCGAAGATTGATTTGCCTCGACTGATCTTCACATGGCCGTAATGCTTTGACCATGTGCGTGAACCGTCTCGGTACATTCTGTCGACATTGTAGTAGATGTTCAGAGTGTTGTGTATTGGTGTGGTGTGCGTTTCGGTTTGTGGATGTTGTTGTGCGTGTGTTGGGTGTGATTGAATGAAAGCACACCAAGTCAGCTGCATTCGATGACGTATCGAGGTTAGCAGTGTTACATGTGTGCGAGAGAGACATGCAATAGTCGACGTTTGGAGTCTCCTCCATGTCACATTGCGACATATTTGTTGTTGTTGGTTGTGAGATGTTGAGTGATGGTGTGTGTGAGATTGTGTGGCTTTCGGTGTGGAATGGTTATTGTTGTTTGTTGTCGTTTATGCCTGTGAGTATGTGTATGTGCGTTTGAGTGTGGAGTGGTGTTGTATAAATATATCTATGTATATATATGTATATATATAATTTTGCCGGCTTTATGTTTCATGTATACATTGTTTTTTTGGATTTTTATGGTGTTTGTTATAGTTTGTGTCTGGTGGTTTTGTTAGGTGTTCTTCTAATCGTTTTTCGGTCATTATTTTTAATGTTTGTTTTTGCAATGTTTATTTTGAGTTCTAGTATCTGAATGCTTTTCTTGTGTTTCTGTGATTATATGTGTATTGATTTTATTTCATTTCATGTTTTTATGTGTGATGATTTTTCAGGATTTTTTGTTATTTTGATTTCTGTTTTCTGTTCTCTGTCAAAGGATGTTTGCCCAAACCTTACGATTCTAATTTTGGATGTATATAACTTTCGGAGGAATGATTCTCAGTCTACATATGCTGTATGTATTTTCGATTTGCTGCTTCGTGTTGGACTTATTAAAGGATTATTTGTAGAAGAATTAAATTTTCAAGATGGTGACGGTCTATCTACTTCATTTTGCATTGATTTCACTTGTTGTGATACCTCAAGTTGTGATTCTTTATTGGATAGATGTGATTTCTCAGGTGTTGTCGATTGGTTTGTGTCACCTCTTTGTACTCTGGTAGATGATAATTCCTCTGGGTGTAGAAAATGTTGCGGTTGCTCTGTCGATGCGCTGGTTCCAAACTGGGTTACTGTATTGTGTTTACCACACATCAGGTATGGTTATTTTTGCTACTCATTTTGTTTTAAATTTTCATTCCTGTTAGATGTTTACCTGAACGTTCGCCTAGAAAGTGGTAGTTCGTTGTAAATAGTCACAAAGTATGCAAATCTTGTCTAAGACTTTTTAAAGTCCGCTCTTAGATGTTAGCACTAAAAGACAATACCACACTTACCATCTGCTGAATGTTGTTGTGGCTATACATCATTATTAATGTTGAATTATCTGGTATAATCTGGATCTTCTATAACCAAAGAGGTTTTTATTATTTTGTGGTGTTATTTAGCACTTTTTGTTGACATTTGTATTTTGATCGATCCGTTTATGATCTCCTTAGTGTAGTGCATCAGATTCCTCGTTATTTTGGAGACCGGTTCAAAATAGCAGCTCTCAGTTTTGACGCTGTGCATGCTAAGTGGATTGTAATAAGGATAAAGGAAGAAAATATTATTTCACTAGGTTATACAGAACAGGTGTGATAAATATCGGCGAATGAAGTGGAATGTCAAAAAATTGAATTGTTCTCATTTAATTATCATCATCATTGAACTTATCCAGAACAAATTGAGGGCCTTCTAATACTTTGTTGTTATGATATCAAGATTGAGTCTGAAATATTTGAGTTTCATTGTCGTCCCCTTTTGAACAAAATTATTTCACCGCAATATTTGTTTCGATTTTTAAATAATTGAAGTCGGTTGTACATCTGCCACTTAGTTCAAACAGTAATTAATTTGTTACAGGTGTGTGTGCTAATTAGTTCTTGCTGTATTTATATATCATGTGAAAACTTCTGGTACCACTGTGTCTCATCTCCAGCCCATTCGCGACGTTAGCCTGACTATCAGAGAGCGTTGCGCACAGTCTTCCTCTACGCGTGTGAAAATTCGCCTTATCGAGTTGAAGATATGCAGCGGCTCTGCGTATTCCATCATCTACGTCTCTGTAGAATTACTGGCATCACTGTGTGAATAATTTTGAGTTGTGGCATCGTGATTTCGGACACAGTGGCGATCACCACTCATCTAATATCGTCATCTGGAAATAGTGGCTTCGACAATTTGGACATATACTACCATCGTCATCCCACAGAACTCCGTTAGCCCTAGGGCTGGATAAAATCAGAGGAGAGGTTGTCATCTGATGACTTGGCGCCGTGGGTTGAAGGATATTTGTGTTAGGTTAATAACACGACTCCTTAGTTGATGTGAGAGAGATGGTTCGAAACGCTATCAGATATTTCAATTTTTGAAAGTAACCTGAAGCGAGGAATTTTGAGTGATCTTGAAAGTATCTTTGTTGCTCTCTGGATAATGTCGCTCATATATATATATATATATATATATATATATCGCTAACCTTTAAGGTTGATTGAACAATGGTGATTTTTATTTACACCTTAGTAGTTAGTGAGTAGTAGTCTAAGGTTAGTGGAAAACTGATTTGTAGTTAATTGTATTTATAACTTTGATTCTATACTGAATTCATGTTTTTACTTGTACACTAGCTCACTTGTATAGGTTTATATATTAGGCTAATACGTTTGTTCTCCGCATTTTATACTTAACAGACCTTTACCATTGGAACACGTTAACGAATTGTTAACAAAAGCGTTTGAGAACCTTGTAATTGCCCTGCCTAATATGAGTGAAACCAACAAAACAGGTTAGATTATAATTATAATTAAAAGTTTTTAATTATTATCATCAGAATATCAAATATGTATAAGTAAATTTTATTTATTATTTTTTTTATGCGTTTTGTGTTCCAAGTGGAACTTAGTTCTTAAAGGTAGAGTTTTGAAGTTTCAGTAGCAGTGGTTTAAGTTTTACGGCATGGGGTTGCTAGTCTTACGTCCAATCTTCCCTCTTTGCGGGTCTTACTACCAACTAAGTGTGCTTTAGCAGTGTATTGGCCGGAGATCGAACCTAGAACCAGATGCGTGACTGACTGGCGAGCATTTTATTGCTGCACCGCCAACGCAGGCATATATAAATAGTGATACTAATTATGACCTCTGTTCAATCGCGCCCAGTTCAAGTGCTTGGATTAATAGCACATAGTTCCCATGAAATATTATTTCATTCTATACACTATTATTACTAATTATTTCTCTTATGTTCAATTAATACTGTAATTGTTATGAAGTTAACAGTCGACAGTTTGTCGCTGACAGAACACAATCATGAAAAAGGCCATAATATACATGCATTTGAAGTGAAGTCAAATAGTATGGTGAACTAAATTTTGTTAAAATACTTTTTTTTATCCCTGAAAGTAAGACTGTAGGATCTGTTTCTTTGTTGCTGTCATTTTGTGAAGCATAAAATAGGTATTCTAATCAATACAATAAATGACCTAATACTGTGGTGCAGTTATTTATTGGTTTTTAGATATCTTTCTGTTACGCATGTTAAGCCATCGCCTATCTTGATAAGCAATATTAGCCAAGATTGAATTAGGTTGTAAAAGAGTTAATGGTTGCTAAACCTCGCATCAGTCCATTAGGTCTTTGACAGTTAAGTGGAGCCAGCCACATAGGGAGATGTAGTCTGCCTAGTTGAGGATCTCAGAATGCTCAGACTCAGTGGTTGGAGGCTATTGGTGTTATGCGTTCGAATGGTTTTGATTGGCGCAAATGCATTCACTCTTTGTGATCTCCCATATCTACTAAACCGTTGGCTTTCTCTCTCTCTCCCTCTCAAATTTCTGCTTACTTTTATTCTTTTGAATATAATTTTCTATCTCTTTTGTCTACCTTTGTGTGCTATTTGGGGTGTGGCAAGTTGAAAGCAATAGCTTCTAGCGTTTCATGTCGTCCCAAATTTGACCATGTATCTTTTATTCAATCGGATCAAAGAGTGATACAACAGGTTAAAATAGGAACTGATTCTAATGCAGTCGTTCCCTGAAGGGAAATATTAGATAAATATCATAATCGATTAATTCTTCC